AGACGCCCCGATGGCGATTTTATTCCTCTCAGACTCAGGGAGAGATGGATCTATGAGATACAGAAACCACTTTTTATTTGAATATTTACAGTGTTCAATATTGGCCTAGCATGTGTGAATGTAATTACTGGAGCTTTACATATTTTTATTCAATCTTAATTTTGTTTGTCAAAATATGTCATTTATATAAGTCTTATGTGAAGGAAAATAAATGTTTCGTCTTACCCCAGTCTATGATGATGGGTTTAGTTAAGCCGGCGTGATCCACCGCGCAGGAGATCTTCTCTCCAGATTTGGGGGTGTACTCCAGATGGGAGTGAATCTGGTAGTACCAGTCTCCATTAGGCATCTCCTCAGTTGAGGTCACATCAGTCTTCACAACTGCACCGTCTCTCATCCAGGACACTTTGATCCCGTGTGGGTAGAAGCGGTAAGCACTGCACATCAACACAGCTGGATGTCTGCCACCAGCCTGCGTCACTGAACTGAGCTTAACCTTTGGTGGCACTGAATCAATAACAGTAACATCTTAAGGGCACATCCCACAATAAATATTGTGATTACATGCAAGGTGTACTATAAAATGTCATAAATACTACTGTATGTATGTGTTCGGGAGTGTATATTTAATATTTCTAAGGGCAAACAAAAATAAATAAAAAAAATCTACATTTTAAAATGTTAGTTAAGAAGTTGACTGTCATGGTGTTGTAATAAGTTTTAAAGTATTATAAAATTAGCAAACTGTCGTGTAATAGTGCCTAGTGTAAGCATTTAAAACGAGTTAATGTGTGACAGGAGAGATTAGAATCTTGTGCTGCTCACCTGTTTTATCAGCGATCGCTGACTGATAGAGTTCAGCATTATGTTTGCAGTATCTGTCCACCTCAGCTCTCTCTTGCTGCAGAATGTTGGTATCTTTGTTCCATAAGTCTGCGTTATATACTCCATGTGCAGTGTACCCCACATACTCCCCCACAGTGCTGTTGAACTGTATGTATACATCTTTATTGAAGATATAGTTATCAACGAACACCATGTCACTGAAATCACGGGAGCCGTGGATACATTTATTCCACCGAGACCAGTAGTATCCATCAGCTGAAAAGAAATGTTAAATCAGCATTACAGATATGTAAGATGATTTCATGTCAACTAGAAAAACAGAAGGACTTAAATAAATTAAGTGGTTGCTGTATTAGTGAATTGTCTTGTTTACTACTACTTCTACTAACAATAATAATTCATCATGAAGAATGTTACTGTCGATATATATCTACTCATTTTACATGACGCTTAATTGTTTTTACCTGCTCCAGTGAATGCAGACAGCATCAGTATGAGATGAAAACACAAGACCCTCGGCAGTGACATTTTCTCTCACTGTGACTGTCCCAACTGAAGAGGAGTCCTGCAATACTTTGTTCATGAGGTGAATATCTGAAACAACCAGCCAATCAGCATCTACACATACAAGTGTCAACTGCTGCTAAGCAGTATCCTGTTTTATTTTAGAGCTAAAGCTAGTTACACAATGACTGTTTTCTTCAAGCTTCTCTGCTAATTATAAAGGTTTAATTAAACCATATTTTATCTTATTTTAACTAAGTTCATAATGTATGTTTTAAAGTTGGTTGCTACAAATACTACCAATCTGACAAATCTCAACAGGAGCTTATTGAGAGCAACAATAATAATTGCCATCTCAATTATTTACATCAAAGTGTTTTGTTTTCTGCATTGTATTTATTATGTGTAAAATAAATAAAATAGGAGGAGATCACTGATTGTAACACGATCCATTTGTTTAGCATTCAGTACCTGTTCACCTTCCTGTATCTCATAGGATGCAATAGAAAAACTTAAAGTAACAAAAGAAAATGTAATTGCTATAAATCACAAACTTGTCTTTTTTTTTTTTTTTAAAGATGAATTTAACAGGCTTGTTGCCAGTACATTCTTCTTTATATGAAAGTAAGCAGCTTAGTTTTTCTCAGCTGATTTATACATTTCTATGTACTGGTTCATGCTTTTTTTTTTTTTTTTTTTAAGTTGGGGCAAAAAAAAAGACT